GTTCTCAGATACGTAAGTCACAGAAAATGTACATCAAACAGACGTTCCTCAGATATGTAAGTCACAGAAAATATACATCAAAGAGATGGTCCTCAAATACGTAAGTCACAGAAATGTACATCAAACAGATGGTCCTTAGATATGTAAGTCACAGAAATGTACATCAAACAGATGGTCCTCAGATATGTAAGTCAAAGAAATAAACATCAAACAGACAGTCCTCAGATACCTAAGTCACAGAAAATGTGCATCAAACAGATGGTCCTCAGATATGTAATTCACAGAAAATGTACATCAAACAGATGGTCTTCAGATATGTAAGTCACAGAAATGTACATCAAACAGATGGTCCTCAGATACATAGGTCACAGAAAATGTACATCAAAGAGATGGTCCTCAGATACGTAAGTCACAGAAATGTACATCAAACAGATGGCCCTCAGATACGTAAGTCAGAGAAAATGTACATCAAACAGATGGTCCTCAGATATGTAAGTTACAGAAAATGTACATCAAACAGATGGTCCTCAGATATGTAAGTCACAGAAATGTACATCAAACAGATGGTCTTCAGATATGTAAGTCACAGAAAATGTTCATCAAACAGATGGTCTTCAGATATGTAAGTCACAGAAATGTACATCAAACAGATGATCCTCAGATATGTAAGTCACAGAAATGTACATCATACAGATGGTCCTCAGATACGTAAGTCAGAGAAAATGTACATCAAACAGATGGTTCTCAGATACGTAAGTCACAGAAAATGTACATCAAACAGACGGTCCTCAGATATGTAAGTCACAGAAATGTACATCAAACAGATTGTCCTCAGATATGTAAGTCACAGAAATGTACATCAAACAGACGGTCTTCAGATATGAAAGTCACAGAAATGTACATCAAACAGATGGTCCTCAGATATGTAAGTCACAGAAATGTACATCAAACAGATGGTCCTCAGATACGTAAGTCAGAGAAAATGTACATCAAACAGATGGTTCTCAGATACGTAAGTCACAGAAAATGTACATCAAACAGACAGTCCTCAGATATGTAAGTCACAGAAATGTACATCAAAGAGATGGTTCTCAGATACGTAAGTCACAGAAAATGTACATCAAACAGACGTTCCTCAGATATGTAAGTCACAGAAAATATACATCAAAGAGATGGTCCTCAAATACGTAAGTCACAGAAATGTACATCAAACAGATGGTCCTCAGATATGTAAGTCACAGAAAATGTACATCAAACAGATGGTCCTCAGATACATAAGTCACAGATATGCACATCAAACAGATGGTCCTCAGATACGTAAGTCACAGAAGAGGAATCGAGAATAAATTTCAGGAAAACTTATGTAGAACTTGAAGAGATATAAAGTTTGAATTCAGTACAGCATGTTTCGGGAACATAATAACTAGATGAGATCTCCTTGCGAGCAACGAGTAGGTCTTCCGTCTGATTTTTCGATAAGATGAGACATGATTTTGACTATGATTTTTTTAAAATCATGATGATATCAAGACTGCTGTCTTTTGATTAAATTCTTTTAATTAATATTACAATATCATAGACATATTTTGTTCAATATGGCTTATCAAAATATTTCCTTTTTTTAAATATAAGCCGTCAAAGATTTAGCATTCTGGCCCTTTGTGACCCCTTATTACCTAACAAAGAATTAAGACATGTACGTTGTTGGAAATTGTTGAGATAAATATATTTGATTCAGTAACGAATTACAAAATACTGATTATTCAAGAGTTAAAGAATTTTTGCCTTTCTTAGCCCCTAATTTGAAGGGCTAAACTAATTTTTGATCTCAAATGAAAGGTATTATTATAACGTTATCTTTTATTATATCTATCTGAACAAAACAATTACACATAAAAAGATATAAAAGAAAACGTATCACATTTTGCAAGATTCTTGTAAACCTATTTTTTGAGCCAAGGCCAGCTTCGATGCCTTTTTCCCTGGAAAGGTCTATATGTAAAATGTTACATGTACATATACAAACTTCAATCATCAATGAAAATCTTAATTTATTACTTTAGTCGTTTAGGAGGAGATCCCAGAACAAGCTGACCCTCTGAAAATCAGAAAATCGTCTATATCTCACAACCGAAAAGTCTATCATCGACGACGAAATTTTCCGACAAGGTTCAAATAAATAACTAACAGATCTAAAAGTTTGGTAAAAATCGAGCAATTTGTTTCCGAGAAATGGCATACATAGAATTGATAAGAAATTATGATAGTAGAGGAAAAATCGATTGAAAACAAGTCTTCCGTTTAAGACGTAAAACCTTACTAAGAAACAGAGTAAAAAACAACATGTTCACCAGTCTTTTGTGGGAAACATAATAATGTATACGTACCCCTGACATAAAAAGGGGATTCATGATCACAGGTAATTGGCTTTCATTAAACATCCTTGTAATTAATTAAGAAAATGATTATAAAATTTTAATAGTTTAATCTGTATTGTTTTACACTTTGATTTCTTTTGGTCTAAATTTTCATACTGGTTTTTAAGATCAACGATTGATTGGCAATATTACATGTTCCTGTTACAATATTCCCGTGCTTTAACACTCTTTCATCATCAACAATGATTATAACTTATATAAACATAATTCATTTGCTCTAAATTTAAAGCTGAATACATTGAGTTTTATGAGGAAAGTTTGTTATCCAACATAAAGCATTATTTCTTTATTTCAAAGTACTTTTAGAAAATCAAATTTTCGAAAGTCAACAAAGTGGTGCACTCCAGGCATTTCAGTATCATTTTCTGGCATAAGTGATAATTTTCAAGTACGAGGGGTGATTAAAAAATTGCTAACTTACTGAATAACTTTCAAAAAAGGAACGATATAAGGTTTCATTTTCAGTTATTTTTTTCAAAGTAGTTCTCTCCGATTTTTATATGCATCTGCAACCGTTCTGCGTGATTGCCTATATCATGAGATCCACTAATGTCCGACAGCTCAAGTGAGCCGTACTGATCCAAAATTGACTGTTGTCCGTCGTCGTCGTCGTTGTTGTCTGTGGTCCTCGTCTTTGTCGTCGTCGTAGTCGTCTTTGTTGTTGTTATCGTAAAATTTTCACATTTTCATCTTCTTCTCAAGATTAAGTAGGGTGTGGTTACACTAGGATACCAAATCTTTAACATTGGAAAACAAGGAAAAATCTATAAAAATATTCTTCTGAAGTACAGCAAAGCCATAATTTGTGTAGTTAAATGGAAGTATCATATGGTAATGTAGATTTGTTTGTTCAAATCATGACACCAAAGGTAGGGTGGGGCAACAATGGTGGATCAAAGTTTAACATTGGAATGCATAGAAAAATCTTCTTAGGAACAACAAAGTCATGATTAGTCATGGATTTACAAAAGCATCCTCATGTAGCATAGATTCAAATTTGTACAAATCATGACCCCCAGGTATAGGGTGCATTAATATTGTTATTGAGAAAGCTGCTGTAAATAATTTAAAATATATGTTTTTGAAATTGGCTATGGTTATTAATGAAATATGTACTAAAGGGTAGTGTAGAATATAGATCATACTGATTATTATTTTTCTCTCTCTAGACAACTTGTCCACGATTATACCCGAAAACCGTCGTATTTGATTTACACGAACATGAACGATAAAAAATCAATCATTTGCTAAGAAAAGCTTTAATCAAAGATATAATTTTGTATACAGTGTAATTTCTATTCATTATTTATAATGCTTATCGTATTCAATTACAATTACAGATATCAACAGGTCTCCTACCAACAGGTTTAGAAAGCATCCTATGCAATGTTTTATCTGCATCACAAACTTTCATGAGAGAACAAAAGGTATGAATAAATTGGAAGATAGCTGTGTATATACATCTGTATAGATAGTAGTCTGTTGCAAAAAAATTTTTGATTCTGTTTTACTTAAATAATGTAGCTCACTTGTACTGAAACTCAAGTCAGCTTTCTGATCACCCTTTGTTTAGAATGCGTCTGTCTGTCTTACGGTAAACTTTGGTTCCATAAACCTTCATATTTATAGCCGCTTTGTAAGAACCACAGGACAAATTTAAGCCATTTTTTTAGAAAGTATTCTTGCAAAAAGGGGGGTTTGAAATGTGAAAATAAACGACCGAGTCCTTTTCTAATGAGGAATAGACAAAAAGACGAAATAGAGTGGGCTGGTTAAAAATTTCCAGAAACCACTTCGTCAGACAATCTGAAAAATTGTTCATGGTTCAGAGTTGAATTAACAAAACATTTATTTCAAATAGAAATTAATTATCATTGGGGTAGTGTTTAACCTCTCATA